TATCACTCCTTATCACTAGATATATCCTTATCACTAGGTATCTCCTTATCACCTCTTGGCTCTTAATATATCCTTATCACTACTTATCACTGAACAGCCTCTTATCACCAGAACCTGAATATTCACTTATCATTCCTTACCACTAGTACCCCAATATCCACTTATCACTCCTTATCACCACCACCTGAATATCCCCTTATCACCACCACTGAATACCCCCTCACCATTCCTTATCACTAAACATCTCCTTGCCACCATTACATCCTTATCATTAAATATCCCCTTATCACCACTTCACCATCCTTATCACCTCAAATCAATACTCAACAAACCTGTACGCCCTGATCTGCTGTACCAAGTTCGAGTTGCAGAATGTCGCCGGGTTCGTGATCAATAAGAAATCACTAGTGATCATCGATCTGGTCTCCACCTCACGTATCGCGTCACCCACTGACATACAGTTCTGACACGTCACCAACTTCAACGACTCAAAACTGCCCGTCCACTGGCTGAAATTATTTATTACTATTATTATTGTAATCATTATTATGTATTATTATATCACCCACCCCCCCCCCNCCCCCTAAAAACCTGAAATTAAAAATAATTCAACTACCTCAACAACTCGCTCAAAGCTGCCTCATGTGACGACGCCACCACAACAATTACATCGCGTATTTCGGTCCTCGACAGCCATTCCAGCGTATAATCCAATACCTTTACATTCGCCAATCGTACACAACTCTAAAAATCACAAAAAAATTTTTTTCCAAAAAATCACCACCAAACTCAAAAATATTCCTTATCACTCTTATCACTACCCTTATCAGTATTATCACGTTATCACTACCAAATCACCTAATTCAACCACAACTAAAACCATACCAATGACGACGTCTCATCCACAATGGGTGCGAATCGCCTATCGAAACTATCTGCCACTAAAATGGCAGTTAAAGGAGCCGTATCGTCCGCCTTCTGCCCTGATGACGCGCCACCTGTCGTCGCATCATTTCGAACCATTTTTCCGTTTCTTCCGGTTCTATTCCTATACCAGATGAGATTATTTCAAATTTTACCTGAAATGACGAAAAATTTACGTGAAAACGCGAAAATCTTCGCCATCCAATTCTCAATCACCATACAAAACCACTACGAAAAATTACTCCTCCCAACAACGAATACGTCTAAAACGTGAAAAATCACGTCAAAACGTTAAATATCACGTCAAAATTCCAAAAATCCCCATCCAAATTCATAAAAATTTACAAATTAAATGAATCAACACAATAAATTCCGCATCCACTCACTAAATCGATCACATAACAATACGCCAACAAACGTAACGGTCATCTCGCCAAAAGCCACCCTATACCACAATTACCCCCGGACCAATTTTTACCCATCTGCTACTTACCCATCACACTACACATCTACTACTTACCCATCACACTACACATCTGCTACTTACCCATCACACGTCTCGAGGTATATTGTTTAACCAACCGCATTCCCCTCTCCAAATAACAAATATCAATAACAATAACAATAAAAACACTAACAACAATAACAATAATAATTATATATATTATACATTCACATAAAAATAACAACAATAATAATAACCAAATATAATATTAATAATATTTATATATATACATAACAATAACAATAATAATAACTATAATAACAATAATAATACTACAAATAATACCCAAATCTCTCGCCCTCCATATCACCCTCTCTTATCTCCAGTCTATATTACCGATTATCCACCACACAAAGCAGCACACATCAATATATACACACACACAAACACACATAAATAAATATACATACAAATATATACACACACATAATAAATATATACATACACACAAATTTATATATACACACAAATATACACACATAATAAATATATATATACACAAATTAATATATACATACAAATATATACACACATACACACACACAACATCCACACACACACATACATCATTCTATACATTTTATCTACTACATTCGATCGCATCTGCTTTATTTT